ATCATAAAGAAACCAGTCTCGCAGAGTATACTGACTACAAATAAAGAAGAGGTTTTAAGTAATTTTTAAAAGCTTAAGGTATTCCTTTTTACCTTCTATTCAAGATGAAGTAAGTGAAGCTGTATTTTCAAAACTCATCTTCAGTCCTTCATCACCAGCCAATTCCTATGATTATCTTCTGTGAAACATTGGATCCTGTACATGATATACTTTGTGTTATGATAGATGAACTAATCTTGAAATATCACATGTTGCAATATTTGTGTGACACCCAAACTGGTCTCTACCCTGTTCAGTAAGACAGAGCCCCTGTTAATTAACCTGGATAACACAGCCTTGCCAAATGGTGACAGACTGTTTTAATGCTTACTCCTAAGGTCCGTACTTATCTGACTGAAGATTGCTAAGTCTGGGGACTGGCACCCCTTTGACCACACTTTGAATAGCACTGATGGAGAATTTCTCATTTCTAAACCAAGCTCTTAGTTCTTTCAATCATCGTTCACAGGAAGTTGTGGTTCCTAGATCCTTGGCCATCCTGATTACTGTTCTCTAGAAATACAGGAAAATCCTTTCGATGTGCCTCTTAAAATGTGTTTCTGATGTATATGACCAGGGCACAAGACAGTGGGGCTGCAACCTTCAGAGTCTTGAGATTCATGCTTCTGGTCAGGCATCCTGAAGTTGGTGTCTCAGTCTGGCAACCACATTACATGGTTAACTCACATTAAGCTGAAATCTACTACAACTCTCCCAAAGCTATGAATAGGAACTGCTATTAAACTAAATGTATTCCATCCTGCATGCACTATAGTTGATTATTGAAGTTAGGGTCTTTATATTTTACTTCACAAAAATTTCATCTTATTAACAGGCCATCCTTCAGTTCTGTTAAGATCGTTATACACCTCAATATCACCAGTCTCTAACAGCAATAATTAGCTTTATCTTGCCCTTTAAGGCTTATGTGGCATTTTCACACGTAATCTCTTTTGGTTGTGTGGACAAATAATGCTAGATGTGAATTATTATCATTCCCATTTACAGCTGAGAAAATTGACTCTCAAAAAGGGTACCTTGTTCAAGATCACTTAGTGAATTACCTTGTGCCATATTCATACTTGGAAAACGTGAGTTCTCCTGGCTCATTCAAGTTATTCTTAAAATGGACATAACTTTGAGGCATCCTTCAGACATCTCTCCTTTAGTTGCATTCAGCCTTTTGATCACACTCTTTGGTGTGAGCTACTCAACCAGTTACCAACAAAACTCTCTGTAGCATCAAACACAATTAGCCATCTCAGCCACAACAATATCATGAGAACCTCTTGTCAGTTCTTTTGATAGAATCCAGACACTCTGTGTCTGGATTTCCATGGTCTACTAAACCGTTGAGATGGGAGATTAAAGTTTATTTGGTGTGTCTTTTTCTCATAAATACATCTGACTCCTAGAGATTCCATTTTGCATTTCTAAATAATCAAACTATTTGTTTTAAGCCTCAAAAAATGTATCAAACGGGGCGCCTGGGTGGCTCAGTCATTGAGCGTCTGCCGTCAGCTCAGGTAATGATCCCAGGGTCCTGGGATCGAGCCCCACATCGGGCTCCCTGCTCCACGGGAAGCCTGCTTCTCCTTCTCCCACTCCGCCTGCTTGTGTTCCCTCTCTCGCTGTGTCTCTCCCTGTCAAATAAATAAAATCTTTAAAAAAAAAATTATCAAACAGATGAAATCTCAACCTCTCCTAATCGGTACACTCCCGCAATTATTACTGGAGAGTCTGCTCTATGCATGATAGTCTGCTGGGCCCTGATGTATTTAAAAAAAAAAAAAAAACTTTAACTCTAGTGCAGTGTGGTTTTTATATGGTGGATCATGACCCATTGGTGGGTTGTGAAATCAGTTGGGTGGGTAAGAAACAATGTTTTTAAAAAATGAAACAGACTAAACTAGATTATAAAATATCAGAGTACAAACAAGGATAACTATTATAGCATTAGCTTGTTTTTTTTTTATTGTAATATATATGTGCCTTAAGCTGTGATGGAAAATTTTTTATTGTATGTCACTATCAATAGCTTGAAAGATCCTGCACTGGCAAAAAAAAAACCAAACCAGAATCATGTCATAGCCCTTGGGACATACTATGATAATTATGTGCACAAGGTGCAAAAGGAGAATGGGTGTTTTTTTTTTTTTTTTTTTTTTTGGGTTTTTTTTTTTTTTTATTGCTTTGGTTTTAATTTGTTTGTTTTGGTTCAAAAGACTTAAATACCTCAAAATTTCCCTGAACTGTTGGCCTTTTTTTCCAGGAGTTTGCCACTGTTTCACATGACTTGGTTGGGTTGTAAATACCTTCCTGTTGTTCAAAGCTAGTATAATAAGCTCTTAGAGTCTAGCAGACAGGGACAGACTTTCCAGTCCCAATCCACAGTGCCCAGCTTGGCATCTTTTCTTGACCAAAATAAAGGAATCCGTATCCAACTAGTATGTGGTTTGCTAGCATCAGTTACCAAGTTTGGGCTAGCTCGAGAGAGAATTCGTTGGAGCCCACACTAAACATTGTAGTTTCAATTTAAAATATCTACACTTTCTTTTAAAAGTATATCCTTTTCTGGCCTTCTCAAAAAGTATTTGCTGAAAGGGGTCTTTCAGAATGATAATGTAATACCACCTCCTTTTCACTACCTTCCTGAAATGTGATATGAAAATCCAGTGAGCTCAAGCTTCAACCTATTATGGTGCCTGATATATAAATAGCCCTCAAATGTCATGTCTTGTATCAATCACAGGGAAAGAGAAATTGAAAATGCTACAGAGAAAGTATAACTTTATTCATCATCCTAGAATCTTTCCTTTTTTCCACTTGTACCAAGTGCATCTTCTTAAACTCTTTTGCCAAAGCTTTATATAACTTTTTTTTTAACTCAAAGCTAATTTCCCAGTGTGATCCCAAAGCTATGTAATTCTCCATTAGTACCTTAGTTTATTTTTACTTTCTTCCACCTTCTACCGTACATAAATGTTTGAATTTGTCACTTAGTCCATCCCGTATGAATCTAGATTTTCAAGAAATAAGCAAGAATGGGGAGATGCCAATATTTATTGACTGAACATCTGTTTACTTTTCTTTGAGACCAGAATATATTAAAAATTAAGGGGCGTTAAAGTGGGCATTAGATATGTAAAAAGATAGGTAAGCAATCTTCTTAGATAGGCAACAAATAGATAAGCATTTGAGTCAACACTGGAAAATAACAAATACTCCTCAGTGAGGGCCTACTAAATGCATTATTTCATTTAACTCCCGCAGCAAACCTATGAGGCAGGGCCTGTTTTTAGTCCCATTTCATGAGTAATAGAAACCTACTTTGGAGAGAGTAAGCAATTTGCAAACAATCATCAAAGCTCTTAACCGGAGCTACCAGAATTTGGAACCAGGTCTTAGAACCAGTTGCTAAAGTAAAATAAAATAAACTTGATTCACATAACAAACAAACAAACAAAAATATGGAGCAGTTACTATGTGCTTGGCGTTGGGGAGGATATAAATACGTATAAGACCCTGAAATCCAAGCCCTTCTCTTGATGAGCTTACCTCTAAGGATTGACAGTGGATGTGAGTGGCGTGAGCTTAAATTATCCTTAGAATAAATGCTACAACAAAGATCTAATACAAATGGTATAGAGCTCAGAGGAGAAAGTGTTCATTGCCTTGGAGCCAGAGAGCAGAGTGCAGTGAACTTGAGAGACACAGCTGAAATGAGGCAAGAACAGTACATGGCAGGCAGGTTGAAAGGGCTTTGAATGCCATGCTGAAGCCTTCTAGGAAGGCCAAGGGAAGCTGAAGGCTTTGAAGCTGGAAAATGACATGATCATATTTGGATTACACTGTGGAAAGCTGTTTAGATGTGGGAGACGCTGGCGACAAGGATTCTAGCCAGGCTTTTACTGTAGTAGACCCAGACAGAGGTGCCAAGGGCCTACACAAAGGGAATGGGAATGAAGATATGAATGAGGGAACAGATCTGGAAGTCATTTCAGGATTGGATCTGGGTAATATATGCATGACAAGGAGGGGGAAGAAGCCGATGAATCCATTCACCTTGGAAGGAGATTATTTTTTGCCCTAGGCCACGGTCTGTCCTGGGCCACAAGGATTTGCAAAGATCAATGAGGCCGTCTCTGGCCACGGGGAGCCCAGACTGGCGTCTCTCAGGGGATTCATACTCAGGCACCACCCAGATAGGTCAAAGAAATGTGTGAGGTGCAGAGTGGGAGACAGGGCAGAGCAGTGGGGGCTGCAGCAGCCCAGAGATGCATGTCCTGCCAAGAGGCATTTCGATGCAGAGTTGATTAAAAACAAGAAGGCTGGCCAAGCAGAGCAGGCTGGATTGGACTCTCCTCAACTAGTGATGTCTGGAATGGCTCCCAAGTTTCTACTTAGAGGAATTCAGTGGGTAATTTTGCCATTAATTTGTACAGGGGAATACACCGTAAGAATCAGGTTTGGGAGACTAAAGTAAGAAGTGTTAGCTTTGAGACAGATTGATGCTCAGGTTCAGAAGAGGGAAGCTGGAAATAGGGTCCTGGGGCTCAGTGAAGAGGTTTCAGGAAAGAAGTAAGTGCCTTTTATGGCAGGATTAAGTTTCTGAACAAGGGAGCTGCAGGTGTTTTATATTTAGACGTCTAGTCAGATGGTAATTACACCTCTTTGTAATCAGTCAAGGAAAACTTCTTAGGAAGGAAGGATTCAGAAACTCTATGAAAACTGAAAGGAAGAAAGCTTGGCAGGTTGAGAAGAGATCCTCTAGCCATGAGGGAGGAGAGGGAGGAAGGCGTACGGGCCAAGGAAAGATGGTGGAAGGACCGAGGGGTGGCCAGAGGGCACTTGTGGAAGGGAGGAAGGAAGGGAAGGGGGGGTGACTCGCCTCGTGTTCACCCGGTTTCCCATCGCCTCCGAGCTACCTAGAAATGAGCATTATCTTTAATGTTTTTCAGGGTGACGACTCAGATGAGGAAGATCTCTGCATCAGCAACAAATGGACTTTCCAAAGAACCAGCCGCCGGTGGTCTCGCGTGGACGACCTGCACACACTGTTCCCCGGAGGAGACAGACATGGGTCATCGGGAGACATTAGGATGAGAAACACCACGAGCAGTGAAAGCGTCCTCACCGACCTGAGCGAGCCCGAGGTCTGCTCCATTCACAGTGAAAGCAGCGGAGGGAGTGACGGCCGCAGCCGGCCAGGCAGTGGCCACAGCACCGGCCGGGCGCCCTTTGACTGCCCCGGCCAGCCCTGCCCCGACAGCCCGGTCATGCTGGACGCCACATTCGTCAGCGGCAGCCTCCCGCAGTCCCCCAGAGACGCTGTCAGCTACCCAAAGAATGAGAAACACACCAGGGCCAGAGCCAAGTCATTTTTGAAGCGCATGGAGACTCTCAGAGGGAAGGGGGCACACGGAAGGCCCAAGGGGCCGGGGCGGACCGGGGGCTTGGTGATCAGCGGGCCTGTGCTGCAGCAGGAGCCGGAGGCCTTCAAGGCCATGCAGTGCGTCCCCATAACGAACGGAGATCTCCGGAGCTCGCCCCCCACTGCCTGCCCCAAAGGGCTCCTGAGCACCAGCAAATGGAGCGGGGCGAGCAGCCAGTCGGAAAAGAGCAGCAGTGGCGTGAGCATGCCCGGCCTGAAGGAACGAAAATGCCAGGAGGCCAACAAGCGCGGGGGCATGTACTTGGAAGACCTGGACGTGCTGGCCGGGACAGCACTGCGGGATGCCGGCGACCGAAACCACACACACGAGTTCCATTCCCAGGAGAACTTGGTGGTGCACATCCCCAAGGATCACAAACCGGGAACGTTCCCCAAGGCACTCTCTATCGAAAGCCTCTCACCAACAGACAGTAGCAATGGGGTTAACTGGAGGACCGGCAGCATCTCCCTGGGCAGACAGCAGGGCCCCGGGGCCAGGGAGCCCAGGCTCATGGCATCCTGCCACAGAGCAAGCAGAGTCAGTATCTACGACAACGTCCCGGGCTCCCATTTGTACGCCAGCACAGGAGACCTTTTGGACTTGGAGAAAGATGACCTCTTCCCCCATTTAGATGACATTTTGCACCATGTCAATGGGCTCCAAGAGGTAGTGGATGACTGGTCAAAAAATGTCTTGCCTGAACTGCAAACACATGATGCATTGGTTGGAGAACCCGGCTTATGCCCCTTCCCATCTCCTAATCAGATCACCTTAGACTTCGAAGGCAACTCTGTCTCGGAAGGTCGGACAACACCCAGTGATGTGGAAAGAGATGGAACATCTCTTAATGAGTCGGAGGCCACTGGGGTCCGAGAGAGGAGGGACTCTGGTGTAGGGGCCTCTCTGACCAGGCCAAACAGGTTGGTGGCATGATTTTCTGAAATGATTTTTAATCCATTTCCGTAATAATTAGGGTCTATTTATCTCATTTATAGCGCACTTCCTAAGTGCCTGACACTGTCTGAAGTGATACATGTGGTTAGGAATTATTTGAACGGAAGTGTATCTTTTCTGCAGCTGTTATGGTGATTGAATCCATGTTAACTCACATTCATTTCTCTGAGTCTTTGTCCTTTAATTCAATCTTACGTTCACTCAAAAAAATGTTGAGTGTATGTGCAAAGCGCTGTGCTAGGCACCGTCAGGGATCACTGGAAATGGACGCTCCGTGCCTGTTCACAGGTGCTTCCCATGACCTTGTTGCCATATCAATTAAAATGTCCCTATCTCAATTTTTTTAACTTTTTTTTTAATCCTATGAGAAATTTGAGACCCAAGGTGTGTACTTCACAAGTTTATTTTGGCTTTAAACTGCCAATTACAAAGTACATAAAGCCATTCTACAAAGACCACTTCAGAAGCACCCGAGAGAAATGGCCCCGAAAGAGATGAACTAGTGGAAACAGTAATACTGAACACGCTGCTGTGCTCTTGTTGAGGCAGAGATGTCCCTTGGGGTTCACTGACGTGTCATCTCTTCAGGAGCTCTCCTTCCTCTGTGCCTGCCACCCTCAGGTTCCATGTCAACAGAAGGAGAATTCAAACGTAGACGGGAAGGCAGTACGAAAATGGTCTACGGGTCCAGAACATTCCAGATCTCACTCTCCATCTTGAGCTCTCTGTCTCTCTCTCTCTGTCTGTCTCTCTCTCTCTCTCGACACACACACATACACCGTCTCCGCTGCTTTCAACACTTTGGGAGCAAACTTAGGAATAAACAAATAAAATGTATTAGGTCCCTTATTAAAACCTTCCCCGGATGTATCAGACTTGAAAGCAATAGTTTCTTAGGTTTACTCTCTGCATTGGTGTCTTCTGTTGCACTTGCTTTGTGATTTCTCTTGGCTCAGAAGCTCTGTTGATTAGCTCCTTAGAAATCAGTGACGTCGTGTGTTTTCCAATAACACGGCCACGTTGTGACTGGCTTCTCTGACGGTCTTTCTGGTAAAGGCGACTCCGATGGAACAGTTTCCAGCTCTCGCACCAGCCTCAGGCGTCCACCGCGCCGCACATCAGCAACCAGACGGCCGGCCAGCTGAACCTGCTCCAGCGCTTCTCACTGCTTCGCCTCACGGCCATCATGGAGAAGTACTCCATGTCCAATAAACACGGCTGGACGTGGTGCGTAGCATGTCCACTTAGGAGGGAATCATTTGTTCTAGTGCTAAGTATGCGGTTGCAAAAGCCTCAGTAGTGAGGTTCTGACTTCTGAAGAAGCCACTCGTGGCCTTCGCTGCCGATGTCCTGAAAATCAGGCGGCAGCCCCTGCCGCCCCCTGCCCCCCGTCTGTCTTCTGTGTTGCCGCCCCTGGGAGCCGATGCAGCCCACTGAGTTTTATCTGCAGCTCTCGGCTGGTTTCCAGGGAAAGCAGTCAGGTTCCAAGAAGGAAAAAAAAAGACAAGGAAAGGGTGATGAATGGTGAACAGAGGCATTAAAAATAAACTGGCCAGAAAATAATTCTGGCAGTTTGCCGAGAAATAGCTGTTGCTTGTACCTTCTGGCTCAATGCGGGGCTCACCACTTAGAGCACTGATTCATTCCAAGAGCATTTAATTCTTCAGGTGCGTTCCGGCTTTGGCTTCAGTGGCAAATAAAAACAGGAATATGCAGTAAACCTTTGTCGTAAGGAATTGACAAAAGCATGTGTTGGAACCTAAATATGGAGCTGTTTTTAGACGAGCTGGTGGATTTGAAAAAATATAAAGCGGGTCATTAATTGTCCTATGTTATAAATTATGTATAGAGAAAAATCTCCCCCAACCCCAACCAAATTTCTTCTTCCTACCGTTTTTAAATTTGTTTTGTTTCGTCTCATTGGGGACAAGTGTTTATCCCTTGAGAGGTGTGGCCGTCACAATTAAATTGCAAAGTTGTCCCCTTGACTTGAAAACAGAGCCATAAATCCGTTCCGCTAACGTAAATCGTGCTGTTTAATAGTCAGAGATCTAACATAGGCAAGGGGCACACATAGTACTTCCTGTCATGTGATTAAGAGAGATGTTGAATTTGCCCTGTGCCTGTTGGTTGTTCCAACAAAAGCTTGGCTTCCCTCTTGCTTGCTTTCACAGCCTCTCCCCACAGGCTGCCCCAGGAGGTTTGCATGACCTGGTTTCTGTGAATTCTAGGTCAGTTCCAAAGTTCATGAAGAGGATGAAAGTTCCTGATTACAAAGACAAGACTGTCTTTGGTGTTCCTCTCATAGTTCACGTCCAGAGAACGGGACAGCCCCTGCCTCAGAGTATTCAGCAAGCACTCAGATACCTGCGTAGCAACTGCCTCGATCAGGTATGGTTGTAAATCCCAAACACGGGCCTGCATTTATGGGGAACGCTGGACAAAGTCACATCTCCTCGGTGTTGCCTAAGACGTGCCTCACTAAAAATAAAAGGCGTTGTGATCTTTATATGTGAGTATTTAATTTGCCCAGGCTACATCTCGGTCAAGCTGCTTGAGGGTGTTCCCTCACTGGCAACTTGAATGACGTTCTGAGTGAAAATTCATGTTAATAGTTTGTGTGTTAATAGTCTGTACCTGTGCTGTCAAATTTGCATTCCCTAGAAACTGGGAGCTATACTTTACACTGCATTTCCTTTTTAAATATTGCCCCACTGCCATCATTGATTTCATAGCATTCTTTCATCCCTGTTTTATTATTTTTTGAGAAAAGAATTAGGTTTTTATATCTCTTTTTTTTAAAAGATTTTATTTATTTATTTGAGAGAGAGAGAGAGCACAAGCGGGAGGGGCAGAGGTCCGAGAGAGAATTTCATGCAGACTCTGCATTGAGCGGGGAGCCCAATGTGGGGCTCGATCTCATGACCCTGAGGTCATGATCTGAGCCAAAACCCAGAGTCTGACGCTTAACTGACTATGCCACCCAGGAGCCTATTAATTCTTTTCTTTCTTTTTTTTTTTTTTTTGAAGCAGCACCATGACCAGGAAAACTTAAACCAAAGATTAATTTCTTTACATCTTTTTAAAATGTGCAAGTAAACTATGCAAACAATATCCGCTAAATCAACTCTTCCTTCATCTTGTACATTAAAATCTCAAGCCAAACAAAATAGTCAGAGATCATTTTCTGTCTCCACGACTGTTTGGGGACCACCGTAATGGTGGCCAGTGACCAGACCCAGAGTGCCACCCATTCTGTAATTTACTAGGCCCAGGCTTCACTCCTCCAAATTAACACCCATTCATTTCTTAGACATTCTGCCCCCAAAAAGCCATATTCCCACTTGATAAATTGCAACCTTGAGTAGTCGGGGTATTTTCGGGCAAATATTCTACAATGGCTTTTGTGCATCATATTCTCTAATGCCATATGAATAATCCAGGCCCACCTAAAATTACTTGCACTTTTTACTGATTCACCCTTGGCCTTGGGCTCAGTGAATAGGAATGAGCTGAGCTACATGAACTCACAGACCCTGGCTACTGATGCTTGTATCTACCCCAGTACTGAGATCGCACTTAGAATCAGGATGGTCTCTTGACGAATCAGACACCACTTTTCAATGGAGAATAGGAGTAACTTCATTTGATGCCATCTTTGATTGAACTGAATGTGTGATCCCTTTTTGCCTTCCCACTCCTAATCTAGAGAATATACAGGTATACATTTTCCCCCATTTCTTCAGACGCCAGAGTGGAGGGCAGGAGTGGTTGCTGTTACTGTTGTGGTGGTGGGGACTATTTCGTTTTGAGAAATGGCCTTTGTAGCTTGCCTGTTATTTCTCAGAAAGAAGGGCAACAGACCACTTTTCTAAAACTATAGACTTTAGCAGATGCCCCAACATTGACCTGTGAATAACATCCACACAGAGCAAACCAATGAATCCAGTTACTTAAGCATTATTTTTTTGTTGTTTTAGAGCTTTTACCAAAATTGCACATTAATCAAAGGTAGATGATCTATGGCTATCTTATTGAGAAAACTTGTTGGAGAGGTGAACTTAGGTGAATATATGGAAGTGCCCACTCTGATCTCTTTTACAACCCTAATAGCATTGCAATCACTCCCTTACGCATAGGACTTTGTGGCCTTAGTTGTACTTTTGTTGTTTTGTTAGCACAGACCCAAGATTGTGTTTTGTGGAGGGTAACCTTTTATTCAGACACGTGTTTTTCCAAGCTTCTCGATTTTCCTAAGGGTATGTAAGACTCATCCCTCCTCTTGGCCAACTCTCTTAGTCTTTGGCTCTGCCTTTTACCAAGAACAAAAAATATTTTGTTCTAAACATTATAATGGGTGGCCAGCGAATGCTTATCAACAAAAGCTCTATTAAGAGAAAACAGTATTTGTTCAGAAATACCTAAAGGAAATGCAGTCCATCTGTGCCATTAGCTCAGTAGTGATAACGTTTCTCGAGGGCCCAGCATGTTTTAGGCATTGTCCTGACTGTTTTACATTCACTGTCTCATTTAAGACCATATCCACCTTGGGTGGTGGTATTCCCCCAGGTGGCAATGGTAGAGCCAACACTTGCTTGAAAAGCTAACTCCAGAGTCCAGGTTTTTAAAAACTACACTGTACTGCCACCTGTTAGAATTGCTTGTCCCAGTGGACTCGGGGTGATACCTTCTCTAGCACTGAGGGACACGTGGAGAAATGGCCCTAAAAACTCACTGATGAACCTACTGTCAGGATTTTGTTGATAATGTTGACTCTTACGTGAGGTGGGTGTCCTTGCTGTGATCATGGAAGAGTTTTTCTCTAGCCCCAACACCTGAAAGCATGGTGTTTCTTTTAGACAACTAGTCTGTTTCTTATATTAAGAACAACTGGTATGTTTTCCTCTCTATATTAGCTGCTTAGAAAGACTAGAGCCAAATGTGTGTTCTTCCCGTGGTAAATATATGTAAATTTTTGGTATGAATTTTGTACATCATTCCTAGTTTCAGCTACTCATTTTATCTTGATTTCCCTTTTGCTCAAATGTTCTTATCTGTGATCTTTAATTGTATCTTATACATTTTATAGATCATTGAATTCTTTCTTGAACACAGTTGGGTGGAAATAAATGAATTGGAATACCGCTATTCTACTCACCACATAGTGTTTAGTGTAGACTGGAAACCACTCAGAACCCCTGCAGATTCTGAATAATGGGTAGCGCCGGTAAGACCACTGTTACTAGGTCCAGTCTCCTGTCCAAAGCAAAAGTCCTACGAATCGAGAGAAGGACAGTGGGCACCAAAATCTCCTCAGTCCTGGCTCGCTGGCTTATTCTCAGTCTCCACATCAAGCCTCTCACAGGTTTTTTCAATCTGGAAGAATGCCTTACTGAAAAAACATGTGCTGGCAAAGCTTTGTAGGCAAAAGACTTATTTTCGAGGACATAGGTATGGATTCTAAATGTAACCAAAACGAATAAGGCAACCCTCTCTTGTATCGGTCAAAAGTAAGAATCTGTAAGATGTCCAGGGGACTTTCACCAGAGCCCGTTACTCCCTTATGAAGCACTCCGTATCTGCGGGGCTTCCCACCCGGGAAGTCACAGAGTGGGGGAAGCACACAGAGAACCCCCTCTGGTCCCTGTGAAAAGGAAGGTGGTAATAAGAAGGGAGCAAGGGAAAAACGGGACAAATACAAGGGAGAATTAAAACCAGGCTCGAAAGGAAGACTGTTCTAGAGCTTTAAGAGCGAACAAGAGCAAATAAAAGTGAATGAATCAGTAAAGAAGGAGGGGACAAGAGCAAGAGAGAAGGAACATACATCACACAAGACTGTTCTTTCTTTGCCAGTAGCACCTCCTTGGAACTAAAAAGTTTCGGGTCTGCGCAGGATCTTGAGATCTCAGCCCCCGGGTTGTAGAAGACCAGAACATCCCAGAACACCTTTCTTTCTTTTTTTTTTTTTTTAAGATTTTATTTATTAGAGAGAGAGACACAGCGAGAGAGGGAACACAAGCAGGGGGAGTGGGAGAGGGAGAAGCGGGCCTCCTGCGGAGCAGGGAGCCCGATGCGGGGCTCGATCCCAGGACCCTGGGATCATGACCTGAGCCGAAGGCAGTCGCTTAACCGACTGAGCCACCCAGGCGCCCCGCCAGAACACCTTTCCTCCAAACCACGCTGACTGGCCTCTGTGTTGCCTCCCTTTACACGGTGTCCTTGACCCACCATCCCAGACTCTCCATGGGGCTTTGCCCTGATCTCAGGGGAGGAGGCTTCCTGCAATGAGCTGGCCCCCTTTTCCTCCTGCTAAGCGTTCAGCTCCAACATAAGCATTCATCACTGTTGGATGCAGCCCCACAGGGCCCTGAAACATGGCCAACGTTCGGCCTCCTACACTCCCCAATTGCAGAACAGTTTATATATGATGAAACACAGTGTAGCCATTCTCCCCCTCACAGCTGGCCCTAGCTGAAATAAGGAAGCTTAGCCCTCTATTATGAACCATTTGCATTCAGACATAGCCGTGTGTGAGAGGAGCCTTGCTCTGTTGGCTGAGCTTTTATTTCTGCCCTAAATCAGCGGCGTACAGAGGCACAGGTGATGCTTGTCCTGACGAAGGTTGGAGTCACGCAGGGAGAGGCCAAGCCTGCGGGGCTCAGAATCAGAACCCGCCACACGCGGTACTTCAGACCCTTTCTCTTTCTGAATAAAACCAACCTTTCTCCATTAGCCGAGCCCATTTCTGAAGAAGAGCAAAGGGAAGGCCCGATAAACATCGTCAAGGACTGAAAGGATTAGCATAAAAGGGATGCCAAGTAGGAGGTTTAATATTATTTAGATGAAATTTGAATTCTAACGCGGCACTCGTGCGCCCGATCTCTCCGTCTAATAGAACAGTAAGTTTGAGAAGCCCGATTATGCTGGGAAGACACTTCGTGCTCAGTACAAGTGTCCCCTACCTGCTGGCTCTTCCTCACAGTCCTCTTGCCTCCCTCATATGAGGTAAGTGATGCTCTGGGACCTTTTCAGATCATACTCCGAGCCCTTGCTTTTTCAGAGCTGGGCTTTTGGGTAGAAGACAAAAGAGAGGAAGGGAAAAACAAGACCAAGGGAACACTCACCACTCACCTTTTTACCTGTAAAATGAGTGATCACGTGCAAGATGCTTGTAAAATGAACACTGTGTTGCTGACCACCAAGCTCCCCTTTTCAGAGAGGGTGTCTGAGCCGGGCTTTAGAGGTACGTGAGCACAGGACCTGCTAGGGAGTTTGCAGTTTGCAAGGCCTCGTGCAAAATGAAAATGTGAGATTCTCTGTTCGTACATTATGAAGAATTTCAAAACGGTGACAGCAGAGAATTAAACCAAGCGTGGAGCCCTGTGTGACTACCAGCAGGGACAGACACAGAGGCATAGGAAAGACGTGTCACACCCCTTGGGGCTTCCTCGTAATGAAGCTGAGGGATCTGGGGCAGCCTCCCACCCATGGTGATGACAAGGCTGCCCTCAGAAGCAACAGTTTTAAAGTGGTTTCTTCAGGGCGCCTGGCTGGCTCAGTTGGTTAAGCGACTGCCTTCGGCTCAGGTCATGATCCTGGAGTCCCGGGATCGAGTCCCACATTGGGCTCCCTGCTCAGCAGGGAGTCTGCTTCTCCCTCTGACCCTCTTCCCTCTCGTGCTCTCTATCTCTCATTCTCTCTCTCTCAGATAAATAAATAAAATCTTTTAAAAAAAATAAAAATAAAAAAATAAAATGGTTTCTTCAGCTCTCTATCTTTCACTTGGAAAAACATTTTTGCCAGAAGTGCCAATTTCATCACTGCTTTGAAAATTCTTCTAAAGAAGAAATGATTATTGGCAATCACTCAGGCCACCCCCCGTGGTTGTTCAGTGAAGGTATGTCGACTTCTCCCTGTTCTCGGGATCTCTGCACCATTGGAAGAATCTTCTGCTTACTGTGTCTGGGGAGTTTTCCACTGCAAGGAACAGAAGGTTGTCCCAAGATGGCTTCAACAAGAGGAAATTCATGAGCTCATGTGACAAGAAGTCAGGAAGTAGGGTGGTTCTGGCATGGTTTTTTCATCAGCTCAGGGCCACTTTTGAAGACTGGGGTTTCTCTCCTTCTTTCCCTTCTATCTTCCTTAGCTACTATATCTGGAATCTGGTCTGAGTTCAGACCACCTTTTCTTTATTAGGTTCAGGAAAGAAATTTCCTTCTGTACTTCCAACAAAAATCCACAGATCCCACAGATATTTCCCACGTGCCTGGAAGATAAGGGTGGGACGGGAAGGTTACTGTCAGAATCTGAGGCAGAACAAATAAATACCTGACAGCCCTCTGGACATCCTGTGAGATCTAAGTCAGAACAAGTCAGAGCCCGCAGCTGGAGAGCTCCCGACATGTCGAAAATAATTAAAATAACAATATTTGCTGAAACTAGAAAGAAACTTGGAAAACAGACAATACAAAGAAAACACTGCTGGGATGTGTTTGCACACGCACACCAGTGTGCACCCAAAATGAAGCCAGCAAGACACAGTGGATGCTCTGCAGTTTACACACAAACACTTGTCTGCTTTATTCTCTTGACAGATTCCAATCAGTATTTCTCTGCTACTGAGAAAATAACAGGAATTCTCAAAGGGAATAACACCGACTCACAGGAGGATAAATGTTTGTGAGTCACCCTTAGGAATTCACCTTCCGAGCCCTGGGATTCTGAGAACTCCCGTGTAGCACAGCCCTGTGGCACTGTCCTGGGCCTCCTTCCAGAACTAGAGGAGTCGAGAAAATGTAAACACATTGAGGATGGATCTCACTTTAGTAATCATTCATTTGACGTCTTGAATTTTTCCTTTGACAGTACATGCTTTCTTCTCGTGCACTTTGGTGACGTTTGGAGTAGTTGCCGGAGGATGACACGTGTTCCTTAGACTCTTGAAGAGACATCTAACTACAGCAAAGTTATACATTTTCTAGATATTCCAAACTTTCAGGATAAAAAAGAGAGCAGTTAATGTTTTAAGTGACAATATGCCTGAATATCCCGATCCGTGGAATTAGAGTGATAAGCCTTGGAATGCAAAAAAAGTATTACCAAGAATTCTGGTTTTTATTGCCACAAAGAGTACCAGTGGATCATTTCCCCTGCGACCTATTCAGCTGACATATACAAATCCCTGAGTATTCTCTAATTGCTTGGAGTTCTTCCCTTGCTGTCACTGTACTTAAAAGGAATTAGTACTGCTCTCCATTTACAGCAATAACCAAGAGAGCTCTCCTCAGACACCTGAACTTGGGTCAAGGCCGGCCTGGCACGCCGAGCCGCCTCAGACACGGCCTGGCACCTCTCCCCAGGCGTAGGGAGGAGGCAGCATGGCTCACTGGTGTGCCGCCGCTTACCTGGCTGACCACTCGGAATGGTCCTACCTTGCTTTTTGGAAATGGGCCAACCTGTGAGCCCTTGAGGAATGAGAAAAGGAGAGATTGAGGTTGGTTGAATGAAGGACCAGGGTGGAGCAACTCGATGCCCTACAGGCATTTAAGAATAGCAGATATGCAAATTTACTGTAAGCCCGTGGGGGTGGGGGCAGGTGTCAGAGACACTCAGCCCTTTCTTGGGTAGAGGCAAGTCTAGAGTGCAGAGCCTCTAGAGGGGCCTGGAGTGTAAGCTGCCGACCGACCCTTGCAGGAATCTGTTCTCCTAGGGCTCCTCTCCACCTTACTCATTCCTACTAGGAGCATTATCTCCTGGGTACCTTATTGCTCCATTTATTTGTCAAGCAGAAGAGGGGTCTAAGCCCTAGGGATGAAAAAGGCATAAGACAATGTCTTGAAGTCTGAAAAAAATGCCACCCAGGAATCCTCACTAGAGCCACGGCTTATGCACATAGTAACTAATCAGGCAGAGTAATAAGTGCCAAGCATCATATGAGAAACACACATAGGGAGTATTATAAGGATTCCAAAGAAGGACAAGAAATAGGACTTTTAAATCAAAATACATGCTTATAGTATTATTATGTTTCAGGAGCATATTCCCTACACCTCTCCCCCAAAGGTGCACTGGATATGGTTGCTTATCTGGGATCCACCAAACCTCCCATTGACTAAAATTTCTCAAAACCCCCACTAGAGTGTAAACATTAGAGGGCCGGGAATTTTGTCTGGTCTGCTCACTAATGATGCCTAGCAAGTGTAAGTATGCCTGAGATAGAGTGGTATTGAATCACTGCTTGTTGGATAAATGAATGCCATGATAGCATCTAGTCAAGCAGACTGCAGGTTACAAAGCACAGCCATACCTATTTTCTCACTTAGTCTCCACAATAGCCCTGTGAGGTGGGCTATTATTCTTATCTTCATTTTATAGGAGAGGGAGTCAGCGTTCAACTACTGCCCAAAGTAACTCACCTACTAATATACATTTTACTAGTTTGGAGGCAGTTGCTGCTCATCGAGCCCTGACTCCATGCCTTCTTATCACTCCCAAAGTGCCTGCCTTAGGAAGAGGATGGCTGGGGGGAAGGTGGCCTCACTAACATGTCCTTGTGCCTTGTTTCAGGTGGGTCTTTTTCGAAAATCGGGCGTGAAATCTCGAATCCATGCGTTACGTCAGATGAACGAGAACTTCCCCGAGAATGTCAGCTATGAGGACCAGTCTGCGTATGACGTGGCGGATATGGTCAAACAGTTCTTCCGGGACCTCCCGGAGCCTCTTTTCACCAACAAGCTCAGCGAGACCTTCCTCCACATCTATCAGTGTAAGTGGAAGGAATGCAGAGCAGTGTTCTCATGTGCACCCATCCACTTAAAAAGCATTCTATAGACTGAGGTCTAGTTACACAAGTAGTACATGAATCCGTAAAGAAATGTATAAAAGTTATCATTCTCTGCTTCTTTCCAGAAGTAAACTTTGTTCCCAGTTTGACATGGAAATCTCCAGGCCATTTGTTATGCGTTTGAAAATACCTTTTTGACATCAAAGTTTTCCTTCTCAGTAGGGTTTTGCGTAAGGTCTAAAACTAACGTTCAGTGTAATTTTAATAACTTTAAAATGAGAAGGGGACACAATAGAATTTATTTTGTATATAAATGTTTTCTAAAACTTAAATTTAAGTTTTTAAAGATTAAGCATTGCCTTGGGATATATGAAATTCAAAGCCAAATGTGTTAAGATGACCAGAAATAAAAAGCAAATGTATTTTAATACAGTGTATTTTAATTGGCAAAAAGTAGGCAAACCAAATCAAGCTTATGTTTAATGCAACGAATTTATATCTTCACTTGGAATTTTTTAAGTGATATTAAATTGAAAATTCTCAGCAAAGCCTCTATAATTAAAATAATCATTGAATAAAACAATTGCTGATTAAAAAGCATATCCTTCTACAGGTAGCTACAAAGGGGGTAGTAGAAATGAACACATGACTCTTTTCTAGATGCAATAATGTTATGATTATAAATTATTTCAGTGGTCCAAGTCCTGATTCTTTAGGAAAAAAAAATATTTGGCGTGTGGACTTTGAGTGTTCAGGAAAATATGACTGAAATGGGGATCAACAAATGGAATTGATCCAATTTGAAGAAGATCCTTGCTTTGGAGAATTCTGTGCTGTGTTTAAGGAGACTACAATATTGCAAATCCAAAAAGGATTATAATAAATACCACTTGTGAAAACAGGATAAAGTGATGACCCACTAAGTAAACATTATTTTGTCAAAGTGAATAGGCTAAGTTAAATTAATGACACATGTCACGTGAGCCCAAACACAGAGAGTTCAGGACTTTGTTGCCTTAAGAGGTCGAGCTGCATTCTCCAGTTGAGCCTCCTTCATGGTTTGGAACTATTATATATGATTCTTTACATTTAATCAGTTTTCAGGTTAGGGTCGACACTAGTCTAAGGTTAAAGCCAGATTGTTTCTAAGAAATAAATCTCTTTGGCCCTTTCTGAGACTCACCAACAAGAAACCAGATCAAAGCAGTGTTTATTTTAGCTGAGCAAACATTTACTGAGTTCCGCTTATGTGCAGGGCAGTGCTGCGCGCTGCAGATGATATGGATGGGTAAGACTTACTCTCTGCTCTTAAGGATCTTACAACTGAGGAAGATGAAACATGTACATATATAACTGCCATACAGCAAGATTGGAGAAATACCATAATAAGGTTACAAAGAAAATCCAAGGAGGTTGAGATGGGGACTAGGAGTTGGTGGGGAACTGGCAGCTGAAGGTGGAGAAATGGAAGGAACACGTCTTGAGTGACTCACATAGCATGAGCATGGTCCAGGAGGTTCCAGGGTATTCTTCTGGCTTGCGTGAATGGTAACTGTATGACACAGTACCAGTGACACTGAAAAATTAGACCGGGGCCATCCCAAGGAAGGGCATTGAATGTCAAGGCAAAGAGTTTATATTTGATTCATTAAGCACTGAGGAACCCTTGGGTGTTGTTGAGGGGGTTACCAGTTACAGTACTCTCAGCTGTAAAGACAGAACCAGAAATCCAACAAATAGTTTAAACAATAAGGAAATTTTATAATCACACATGACAAGAAATCTGGACTTAAGAAATTCCAAAGTCGGTTAATTTCACAGCTCGGTGATGCCAGGGCTGAAGTCAGCCTCTATCGGTTACAGCCTCAAGGTCACAATATGATTGCCACAACTTACAATGATTGTGTCTTCCCAAAATCACACTCAAAGGCAAGAAGAGAGCAGAAGGGCTTCTCCTGGGGCATATGTCTCTTTTTATCAAGGAGATAAATTCATAGAAGCTCCTAGCATTTATCTTGGTCCCATAGGCCAGAAATGGTCTACATGTTCTCCCTTAAATCAATCACTGGAAAGAGGACTGGAATTACCACTTTGGGTTTAGGCCAATATGGTTATGCCCAGAGTATGAGGGAAGGAAAGGGCCCATCTTCCCTGAGCATATTCCAGATGGCAGCCGAACAGAAAGTGTATTTTCTTATAGAGGAGGAAGGAGGGAATAGGTATTCAGTAGGTAGCCAAGTCTATGTCTGCCACAAGGGTAAATGTGCATCAGGACTGCTCTTGTGATCCGTGAATCTGGAAGTGCTGAACAAGAGATATTGGGTTGTGCAAGAACGGAGGGTTAGTGAGTGAGCCAACACATTAACTGAGGCGCTGGATTACCTGCAGTGACTTCCAGCAGTGAGACTGGAAATTCAGTGTTCCATGGATAGACTCTGGAGTCAAAGAGGACTGTTCTTCCTCCCCTTCTCCAGAGCAGTTCTAATTTTAGCTGTGTTACGTCTTGGACTTTCTTCAAAAGATTAGAGTTTGGATGGGTAATGAAAATAGTTGAGACCCACTGGTCTCCTGGAGGGAGAAGGATGGAGGGATCAGATACTTTAAGACAATAGTCTTAAAGTTTGGTGACTGGGAGAATACTGAAAAAAAGAGGGGCAGGGGAGCTGGTGTGAGGGCAGGGAGAGGAGAGGTGTTCGGAATCAACTGGATGTTGTGTTTGAGGCGCTGACAGCCATCCGCATGGTCGCTATTATCAACACTTAGATATGCAGATCTAGAATAGTCTCCTGAGAGCTGAGAAAGAGGCAGGAACCATAGGAATGTCAAGTGTGACAAAGGTCCAAGAGGATAAGATCCAAAATGAATGCTGAATTTAGGGATTAATGGTTGACCTTCACAATCATTTTTAGTAGAAAATATTAGAAGATACTTTCTGATGGATAAAGGAATAAGTGAGTGAAGGGAAAGTTGAGACAGCATGTAGCCATGACAAGATGACTCTTAAAAATGTTGTTGTGAAGAGAACGTTAGCCATCTAAAGTTAAACAATGTACACACTAGACATCTTAGCTAAAGCAGCATATTAAAAGCAGTTCAGTGGCTCAGCTGAATTTCTACACTTCAGTGACAAGCTTGAAATCGTTAGTAGTATCTCCTGTTTCAGCACAAGCAAGAAAAAAGAACAAGGTTCTGCTATAATTTGAACAAAATGGCTCTTTTCTACTCAACCCAAGTCTATCTTGTGCCACACACTGGACGTGGTGGGGGTAGAGATGGGTTCTAGAACACTGAATGTAGTCAGGCTTTTCCAGAAATGTGGATTTGCTGGCTGAACGGGGCCAGGAGTGTGCCCAGCGCTGGGATGTATGATGGTGGGGAGGCCCAGGACCCGGGGAGAAGGTCACACACAGCCCCTCTGGGGCAGCAGGCTCCAGATGTCTTTATCATGTACCCTACAAATAATAAGTATCTGAGCATGTATACTTATCTCTTTCTCATAATAGAAATATACTGTGATATACTGTGATCTACTGTGCATGTCATAAAACATACCAAATCAGTATTTTTAAAGCGTGAGAGAAAACATAAACACCATTGGAAGTCCTGATATTTTCTTCTCACAAGTCAAGGATTGTCACAGGCACATTCCCCCACCCCTTCAGAGGACAGACAGCCTACTGCAGAGACCTGCTCTAGAACATGGTATTTTAAGAAAGACAGTGTAACCAAAGTGAGCTCCTGATGGTATCTTTTGGAGTGAGAAGAATAAGGGCGGTGAGTCAGACCTAAAAGATCAGTAATAAACCCAGCCAGGGGGCATCAAAATGTAGTGCCTAGCACCCATCTGCCGTGATTTTCCCTATCAGTTCACAGCATATATTCGGGGCCACTGCCCTTCTAAGTCGGCATGACCAGCACCCACCACCGCCACCCCACAAGGACCACCCTGAAGGGGAATGGCCTGACAGGGCCAGACTCACTCCATAACCTTAGCGAGCCTGGTTCCCCTTCCCCAAGTACAACCTCAATTTCCATTCTCCCCAAGATTATGAAATGCATGCCATTGGGTCACCACATGAAGCCAATAACGCACCTCCTCTGCACCGAACCCTGGGTGACTAGTAGGAAAAAGAAAGATGCATCCGGCTGATGCTTAAGGAGCTGACCCACTAGGAGTCATTCCAGAGGGCCAACCAGCTGGCTCCCACCGTGGTTAATTGTGCCAAACTGGCATCAAGGCCTGGCGGCTCCACTAGGGGTGGGGAAAGGCGAGGCTGCCATCCCCTAATACAGTGGTGTCCAAACACGCCCCACAGAGCCCTGGGCATCCCAAAAGGTGCTTCCCAAGCTGTCTGGTGGGAGGGTGGGCGTGAGGGAAGCCAGGCTGACAGTGCCCCAGCCTATCGCCAACTTCAGGCAGAGCAGAAAACCAGTCTGGACACAGCTGAGGAGGTGGATGGCTCAGAGACCGTGAAAGGGCAGGATGGTGGCGTTCCTTGCCAAATAGCATCTCCTTGTAAAGGCACAGGGGGGTTCGGAGGTGGACGGCTGGGGTTCCAGTCCCAGCTGTGCCTCTCACCAGCTGTGGGTCCTGAGCATTGACTGATTTCTTTGTGCCGTGAGTGGCCGTCGCCATGGCTGTGGATGATGGTCGTGTCTCTGAGTGTGTCTTCACACAGGGAAGGTGGACCTTATTCACTGTGTCCCAGCTAGCTCTTTCTGTAGCTGTCCCTCTCATGACCTGGCACCCACTTTTCCGTAGATGTCCCCAAGGAGCAGCGGCTGCAGGCAGTGCAGGCTGCCATCCTACTTCTGGCCGATGAGAGCAGGGAGGTCTTGCAGACGCTGCTGTGCTTTCTCAATGACGTGGTCAACTTGGTGGAGGAGAACCAGATGACACCCATGAATCTTGCCGTGTGTCTGGCCCCCTCCCTCTTCCATCTTAATTTGCTGAAGAAGGAAAGCTCCCCCAGGTGCGTTTTTCTCATCAACAACCATAATCCTAAACCGGGTATTTCCCATAGTTGATTAAAAAAAAAAAATTCTTGTGTTGTATTTCAACTTAAGGATTTGTCAGCATTTAGTTTATAATCAGAAAGTGTTTCGAGGTGACCATAATTCATGGGCTAGATATGAATCCAAGTAGTCTTGGAGGATGCCCACTATGATCCAAAAGCCCGAGGAGTTGTGTTGTGGTCTGTGGGTAGTGTGTGGGTGGGAAGGAGGAAGAAGTACAAAAATCCCTGTTTACAATCTTTAATGAAAAAAGGGGGGACTTCACAGCACCTGCAGTGACGTGGTTTCAAACTCGGGGGAAGAAATAGATGAATTTCTCCCCCAGCAGTCATTCCTGCCCTTGTATTTTTACAAGGCTTTTCATTATGAACTGTCAGACTCTTAGCCTGACTCAGAGTATCTAGGCCATGTGGTCACTGTTTTTATTTGGAAATGAGAAAGTCTGGGATCTGGATCAGCATCCGGGCGTGAAGCGACAACGAAAGGGTTGGGCTCTGTGTTGTGCAAAGCTCTCGAGTGAGGGATCTGCTTATGACTCTGCCCTTCAATTACAGAGTCATACAGAAGAAATACGCCACCGGGAAGCCAGATCAAAAGGACCTCAGTGAGAACCTGGCCGCCGCGCAGGGGCTTGCCCACATGATCACAGAATGCGACAGACTGTTTGAGGTGAGCGAAAGTTTCCAGCAGCCTTCCTCTAGCTCTTGGAGCCAGATAAGATGCTTGGGATGGTGGCTGCATTTGCGGCTCATCGGGGTTTGCTCCTGATTTTACAATGACAATAGTACCTTCTGTAGCTCTGGTGTTTGCCGCCAAGAAATGTGAGGAGCTGGCTGAGTAATTGAGGCTCTGCCGGTTAGACACCTGGAGTTACTATGCTGATGGTTTTCAAGAAAACGGTCACATTACCTTCCGTTCAGGTTCAAGGCCAGCCAGCCAACTCTGCTGCATTTGTTAGCTTGGACTTGATGAAGTTCAACATCTGTGTATGCGTGATATTGAGCAATCCCTGTTAACTAAGAGTCCATGACAGCTTATGAGTTTAGACACAGATAGGTTCAAGAAGGAACTCAACTAGACTTCTGGCATACTTTCTGTGGTAAAGTTGGCATTTGTAAATGGGGAAAGTGTGCTAAAAAGGTAAAGCTATTTCTAAGTCATATTTGATATTTCCCTTAAGTCTGTGTGCTTTAAGTTTCCTGAGGCCACATTTTGCCAAACTGAATAAAAACACATTAAAGATAAAATAAAAGGAAAACGGAAAGACTGAAAGGGAAGTCATTGCAATGTTTTGAATAATAACCGTAGTCTCAGAAACGTATTTGTTTTTCCTGACTTTAGGAAACTCCCCCACCCCAGCCTTGCCGCTGATCTTGGAAAAACATCCCTTGTCCCATGGCACTAGGCCCATTGCCCATACTGTGGTTTTTGATGAAATTACTTTGCTTTCTCTATGAGTCTCAGCATCTCTTTAGCTCAGTATGTTGCTCTTTCGTGCATCTGTTGGTTCAGGTCCCGCATGAGTTGGTAGCCCAGTCCCACAACTCATACATGGAGGCTGAGATCCACGCTCCAACTCTGGAAGACCTGGGGACCCAGCTGGAGGAGAGCAGGGCAACTTTCCATATGTACCTGGAACATCTTGTCCAGGGCCTCCAAAAAGAAGCCAAGGAGAAGTTCAAAGGTTGGGTCACGTGCTCCAGCACAGACAACACAGATCTTGCTTTCAAAAAGGTAATCTCAAGAGGTTGGAAAAAATTACCCCCAAAGAGTCCGGTGTAAGAAGCAGGGATTTGTTTCCAGGGGCACCTGGGTGGCTCAGTCAGTTAAGCATCTGACTCTTGATTTCGATTCAGGTCATGATCTCGGGGTCGTGAGATCGAGCCCTGAGTTGGGCTCTGCACTGGGTGTAGAGCCTGCTTAGGATTCTCTCTCTCCCTCTCCCTCTACCACTCCCCTCCCCACCACCCTCTAAAAATATATAAATAAATAAAATAAATAAATAAAAATGGCCGCTCTGTCCACGGGGCTTGGTACGCACATGAATGGGTCAAAAACCCACTCTGGAGACTGCCGAGCTGTCCCTGTTGCACATAATCCGAGTGTGTGTGAAGCTAGGCTGCTGGCCGCCAGTCTTATCCCTGTCCCTTAGCTGTGTGATGTTGGGCAAGTCGCACGCCTCTCTGTGCCTGGCTTCTCATTTGCATAATGGACGTCATCCCACCACGGTCAGAGGACGGCTATTTACAAATCAAATGCGTTAGAATCTTTCCCAGCACGCAGTACATACTGTATGGGTTGGTGGTTACTATTCGTCTTATCGTTATTTTTCTTCTAAGCCTAAAGATGAACATCCTAAAATTTTAAACCTGAGGTGTGCAGAATCACTCTTTCCAGTTACACCATCAGTGATGTTTTGTGAAGGTCCAGTGGAGAATGATAGGTGTGGGTTGGGACTAGTTGACCTCTTCAGCCTTCGATGGTGTCTTTCCTAAGGTGGGAGACGGGCACCCGCTGAAGCTGTGGAAGGCCTCTGTGGAGGTAGAAGCACCCCCCTCCGTGGTTTTGAACCGTGTGCTGAGAGAGCGCCACCTGTGGGATGAGGATTTTGTGCAGTGGAAGGTTGTGGAAACCCTGGACAAGCAAACAGAAATCTATCAGTATGTGTTGAACAGCATGGCCCCCCACCCTTCCCGAGACTTCGTGGTTCTCAGGTAAGCCTGACTCTGGGGTTTAAGGTATTTTTTTTTTCCAAAAGCAGATGAAGAGCTGCATATTTAAGCATTTCACAGCGTTCTACCACCGAAGTTCAGCCTCCACTGGGAACACTAAGCTGGCACGCATTTCCCTCCGTGAAACCTGACTTCGCTGTATTTATGCCCGACTTCCTGCTTCCTTCACCCAATTTACGGCTCTGCCGGCCTCTCTTCTGGCCCCTTTCGCTATGGAGCATACGGTTTATTAGGCCGTAAATATTGTTCATTTCCTCAGAACAAAGTCCCAAGAATAGCTGCTGTTTGTCCAGTTGCACTTTCTGCCAAATTATGCAAATCGAATCGTACTTGTCTCCTGATTTTGCCTTCCTCCCTGGGGAAAGCAAGTCTTGGGTTTGTGTAACTCCCACGACGGAAGCGTGTGTAACTTCAAAACCCATCTGTATAACTTCGGATTTTCACAACTCATTGCCATGTAGGGAAAGCTTGGCACAACCCTGAAGGTCCAACTATGCAGAGAAGGTCAGATGTCCAGTCAGATTTCAGGGCTGGATAAGGCCTGCAAGTGTTTTGTCTACTGTTGAAGCATTGCTTCTGATCGGTTTATGGGCTGAGTTCTGGCCCCCTGCCCTCTGGGTTTGGAAGGGGGAGCTCAACCCGTGACAGGAGGTGTGCAGCTGTGCCCATGAGCTGGTGAGTCAGCAGTGAATCCGAAAGAACATGGATTGAGGAAATGAAGAAAGCAAATAAAATATAATTAAATCAGTGTATTCTTTTTTATTGATAACTGATGGCAAACACTGTCTCTTCCCATAATTAGCAGTGTCAAAGGAATCGCTAGTGAAATTTCCAAATGTATATTTCAAATAGTTTCTTTATGAAAACCGTTTTGATGGCAAACTCCAGGTTACTTTTCACGTGGGCCTTCGGAATTGGTCCTTGGGACCCTGAATTTGAAGGGCCATTTTTCCCTAAATATATGTGTTTGTCTTAGCAGCCTGGGGATCCTGGTGGAGAATGTGGTCAGTCTTAAGGGTGGCTTATTACCACGGTTACGGGGACATTTGTCATCTCATGGAATTTAAACTGCACACCTTCACTCTTGTGAGCAGCAAATCAAATAGTTCTTATGGGATGGCAGCCATGTGGATGGAGCCATGCCGTAGCCTGCCTCTTCCCTCCCCCTAGAGGGGGCTGAGGGTCAGAGTCCATGCATGGAACCTCCCTCCTTCGATCCACCCGGCAGTCCCACCAGCCTATTGCTCAGCGCAGAGCATCATTCCAGCCCCGTGGGGAGGTTGTGGGGATATTACAGTGAATACAACAGACCTGCGGTCTCTCGGGGTTTACATTTTATCAGGGAGGGAGGGTCAATAAATAATAATTAAGGGGATAATGTTACCCATCCTATGGGGGGGGCAGGAGGAGGATAAGTAAGATAGGAGGATGGTAAGGGGTTGAATTTTAAATATAGTGGTTAAGGCAGAGTCTCACAGCATTGATAGTTGACCCACAACTAGAAGGAGAAAGTGGGTGGGTCATGAGTCTCTAATACGGAAGAACGCAACACTCGAGAATATTAACCATGCACCAGACATGGTCCCTGCAACAAGGGATGCCTGTGGTTATGATACCAGAAGGTAGAAAGTGACAAGTATGGTGGGGAAGTCGCAGAGCCGAGACACTTCCTGTCTTCCGAGTGCCGCCCTATTAGACTAGCAATCCCTTCAGGATTGCCGCTTGTACTTGCGTTATCTCCTTCTCTAAATCCCCAGGAGCTTCCGGTGATAGTTACGGCAGCTTTTTCCATTTTATCCCCACAAATCTGTGCAACTCCCCATCTTTATTGCTAATCATATCATCCCGCATGAGGAGAATGGTCACACCCATGGAGAAGCTGCTAGGCATTTGTGTAGGGCTTGCTTCTTCCCAGGTTCTTGTGGGCCACGTATAATAGTTTCTCTTTCTGGTGTGGTAGGACAGGACGGACGAAGTTATAGATGCCATGGCCAAGCCAGGGATAGGGTTTGTGAGGTAAATAACTGGGATTATGATAATGAAACCTATGTCCTGTGATAGAAATGTTCGTTACGCAGATGCTCTCATGGTTCCCGACTTCCATCTACAACATTGTCCCAAGTGGTAGCCCCATCTCTGCTTGAATAGCTCCTGTAACAGGGAGCTTACTACTCCTCATACCACCTGGTTCATTTTTGGAGAGTGCACTTTGTGAGTCAGGTCTTCCCTCTCCTGAGCTGACACATGCCGTCCCATGTCTGCCTGCTGGGGTCAGATCAGCTGTGCTTTTGTCATTCCACTCGGGAGCCACTCAGGTACTTGAAAACAATCAGCAGGCCACATGGGTTTCGTTACTTCAGGCTAAGCACCCCCAGCTCACTTTTTCCTTTAGGACTGAGTTGAGCATCGCCTTCTCCTGTATGCCCCCGCTTCCCTTCCACAGGATTGCAGAGCACTGTGTGCACAGCCCCATCACCGCACTGTCCTTGGTCTTTTGTGGGTCTCTTTGTACGTCTGTTCCCTCTTCCTCGGCTGTATATCTTTGTGTCCTTAGTGGCTTCTCCTGTGCCCAGTAGATGTTTGCTGAATGAATGGAATGGGCAAGTCCTAATTCTAAAACTCTAAGACCAGCCCTTCAGGAATGGCCAGGAACCTCTGCAGCCTCGATTTGGGGGTTCCAAAGGCAGACTGGGAAGCTGCAAGATCATCGCTAGCCTCTGGGTCAGGGGGCTGAGAGGCTTGCTTTGAATGGCACTGTAAAAATTTTACACACCCTTATGGAAGCCATTAGTTTAATCTAAGTAAGTAGGATGGGGATTCGAGCAGGAAAATGTAGGTGTAACCCTCAGCGCTGTGTCCAGGTTTTTCTTTCTCTCTTAGTCCTAGTTTTGATGTGCCGGTTGTTTTGCTACAGGACCTGGAAGACTGATTTGCCCAAAGGCATGTGTACCCTGGTGTCCCTCTCTGTGGAGCACGAGGAAGCCCAGCTCATGGGCGGTGTGCGGGCCGTGGTGATGGATTCTCAGTACTTGATAGAACCGTGCGGCTCTGGCAAATCGAGACTGACCCACATCTGCAGGATAGACCTGAAGTAAGTGTGCACTACCCAGGATGGCAGGCACGCTCTGGGAGCCTCAGTTCAAGTGGCGGAGTCGCCAGGGCCCTGTTTGTCGTCCTGACTTCTTGTTTCACTGTACTTTGTTTTTTCACTGCCACTAGCATGCTTTCATCGATGATTACTGATGCCTCCCCCTCTCTGCTTTCCTTTTCATCATCTTTCCTAAAACTCTGACATTCTCCTGCAGCCCTCTGCTCGTTTTTCTTTTCAGCACCATTCCCGCTTACCTATGTATGCTTCTCACGCAGAGCAAACACACCACATGGTGGCTTGTCAGTCACTGCGAGTCCCCTTCTCTTGTGCTGCTGCCGTGCCTGCTCTCCCTGTGTGGTCCCTTCCTGTTGCCCTGCTTGCAGAAGTAGCTAACTGAAATCCAACCCCATCAGGGCAGTCATGATGCGGAACAAGCTCTTCGTCTGGGTACAGAGACACTGAGATTCCTCAGTGAGTTCCAGAATTCAGTCTGAATCTTAGCGCTGAAAAGACAGACTGAATACTTGGCCAGAAAAGCATTTTCCAGGCACCTGATGACAGAATGAGGTTCTCCGGTCCTTCAGGGGTCAGCCCCCAGTTGTAGGCAAGCGCGCTCATGAGCAGGGCACAGGACAGCCCTGCCTACCGTGATAAAGTGCTGAGATTTGGAAAAAGCCTTTCCTACTTCCTTTCTGATTTTTGTCCCCACAGAGGTCACTCCCCAGAGTGGTACAATAAGGGCTTCGGACATCTGTGTGCAGCGGAAGTTGCCAGGATTAGAAACTCTTTTCAGCCCCTCATTGCTGAGGGTCCAGAAACTAAAATCTGAGTTTTCCCCAGTGTGACATCAAACTCAGGGAAGAGGAAGTGAACGGAAACACTTGCGGGAGAGAGTGTGCTTGTGAGAAAGCAAGAGAGAGAGAGAGAAAGAGAGACTGAGTGACATGGTTAATGCTTTTAAAAATGGAAACACTGAGGAGTCAGAATGTTGAAGATGCAAGAATTTCTGAGAACTTTCCTAGCCCTCCTGGAGATGGCTACATCCCTACTAATATAATATTTTTAAAAATCAGAACATTTATCTATGTTACTTAAAATTAAATGGATTATTCCTTGTGCATTGCCTAATTTGCTATTTAAAGGCTTCTAAGAAGCGTATTCTTAACTGTAAATAAATGTATGTATAGCATATGTACATATGTGTGTATATCTCTATCTTTATTGTATATATGTACAATACCAATTTTATATATATTTGCGTCTTTTGAAAAGGAACGCGTCTGACTCAGTGAGTCCCTTCCTCACTCACGTGGTTCTTTCCAAGTTCCTCTGGGCCCATCCCCCCACTGTCCTGTAAGCGGAGCAGAATCTGCTGCTAACACCAAGGTGTGAAAATGTGTAGTCTGTCAGTCTGCCCTGATGTTTAACCAAAGATTAGCAAACCAAAGGAAAACAACATTCAAAGGTTCTTATGTGTTGTCAGTTTGTGTTATTCAAAAACGGAGCATGGAGTGTTGGATAAAGCCAGGAAAAGAATACTTACTCCTCTTAAAAGCACAGAAGCGGGGAAGAAGTTGTGACCAAAGGGAAGGCTGGGGGACCAGTTGCCCATGGACCCAGCCAGATGCAGCTTCAGGGACATGTCAGATGCCCACGGGCCACTGGAGTCAGCACAAGCTGACTGAAAGAAACTTTATTTCCCTGCTGGTTAGAGCCAAATAGCGTAGCCTTTGCATATTCACAGCCAAAGGGAGCCTCTGTGTTTTATCAGGTTTTCATAGATACATTTCACCATGTTCTTAAATGTCACTCTATATGACCAGTGCCCTGTTTGGTCACAGTTAATTGGCATTTTCTTACCAATATATTGCACTGAATTGAACTCTGGAAGCCAGGCAAGGGGAGGCGATGTCATTCGAGAGTCCTGGACCATCACAGTTTCAGGGAATTCTTATTTTGCTCTATACGATGCTCTTCATTCAAGTTTTGCAATTTGAAAGACAGGGTTTTAAACTAACAGTAAGACCAAAACTATGCTCTGCAATTAGTCTTAGAAAATATAAACAGGTTTCTTAATTTCATATTTCTTCGTTAGCCAGTCAAGCTTACCTAGGTGTTTGACCCAACCTTATTTATTATTGTATAGACTAAGTTGATTGACTCTCCTTAACCAATTGCTGATGGATTTAAGTTGTGTGGGGGGGGTTTATTGTAATTCCACAACTGTAGAGAGGAAGATAAGTTATTATGTTCGGTTTCAGGGAGAGATTTTCTTTGGTAATCCATGAGAGATTGGTATCATAATTTAGCAACTGGTGTGGGAGGAAAAAAAAATAAGTGTTTTCCCCTTTTCTGTATTGTATGCATTTATGTTATTAGTAATGTTTCTTCCTATCAGCAATGTGCAATTCTTTTATTGAGAGAAATAAAAAATGCTATATATGAATTCTGCATGGTGCAAGGGAAATCATACTATTTGAATTATGGCCCAGGAATTTTTCATTTCCTTGCCTACACAAGAAGGTGCCAGCAAACCCATAATTTTCAATTTGGGCAGGGTTCTGTGAACAAAACAAATTCACTTCTGCCATGCATCTTAAATTTAACCATATAGGATGGATTACTTTCCTATGCAAAGACAAGATTAACGAAGTTTAGTCTAGTTTAATTCCTGTCCAGAGATGGAATCCTAGGTGTTTGGAAAATATGATAGACACAGAAGGAAGAATCGAATTGTATCACCGAGCTTAGCATACACACGAATCACCTGGAGATCTGGTTCAAATGTAGACTCTGATTCAGGCAGTCTGGAGTAAGAGTCTCCATTTCTAACAAGTCTCGGGGATGCTCGTGCTGCTTGCTGGCCCTAAGACCACACACTCTGGGAAGCAAGAGGATACTAAAAACAAATGTGATTGTATTTCTGACTCCTCCTCTCTTCAAATTATCTGACTGGCTTTTCTGTTTTTACGCACATACTAATCACATCACTGCTGCATAACACAGTGCGTCTACAAAAAAAAAAAAAGGAAAAAGGAGGGAAACGATGCATCAAGCTTGTTTGTCAAATACCACAGTGTTTTATTCGTTGTTATCTTGCCAATGGAAATAAAATATGATATTGCATTTAAATATTATATTTATACCTCATGTATATTCTTACCTCAATTGTTGGTATCAATCATCAATTGTAAATAAATAATTGCCAAGGCAAATAAATTTATATACATTAAATATTTCCTATTTTCTATAAAATATATGTTGATTTTCATGCTTCATCCTGTAAGTGGAAAACCTGTATTCAGTATCTCTCCCAAATACAAGGATGTTGTTACCAACATTCACTAACAGTCTTCTGGGTGCCTTAATTTGTGTGTAAGGCATTAAAGTGATGGGAAGGGCTTATTTTTTTACATTTCATTGTTCTTAAGTCTGGAAGTTATAAAAACACATGGTATTTTTTATCAAAGATTCAGTAAATTCTAGCTACGTTTCATTTTCACTGAGTAGACAACAAATTGAGGTGTGATGAGAAGACTTCTGGCTGCACCACTAGACCAAGAAGAGCAGCCACCTCTCATTCTAAACCTCTTGACTTCATTCTGTTTGTTCTCTGCTTTACTTCTAAAAGATAACAAAAGTATCTCCAAATTAAGTAAGCAGGCTCTCCCTAGCATTCTCAGCTACAGGCTGCAAAAGCCACTGGCCCAAAAGACCATATGCCCCCATAAAAATGTTCCAAACTTTGCTCTCTGCGTGTCTCCCTCATGCCTTCCCCCTTTACTTGAAGGTTTTGCCTTTCAGAGGCCAAGGAGGAATTTCAGTTGCCCCCTTTGTCCTTCCATGTGAAAGGAGAGAACATGGTGGTCATTCTAGCAGCCACTGACTCCGAATGTCCCGAGACCCTAGACCATACGAATTCAAATTCGATTGCAAGCATACTTGAAATTCTTAGGTCTGACATTGTTCTACTTCTGTCTTTTGATATTTGGCTACAGAAAAACTGGTTATATGTCTTCTCAGGAAAATAACATAGAGGGTTAAAATAGACCCCAGCAAAGGGGAGTGTCACTCACGACACAAAAACAAAATCAGTGGGGGCTGACTGCACAAGGGCTTAAGAAATAAACACTGGAAGGTACAGCATTGTAACACTGTAAAGCCACGAAGTTTGAACAACTGACAACATGCTGTGTTGGACATGCCTTGGGCAGACTACATCCTTTGTACATTGAATGTTGACTTCCATTCTAGCAATCCCACCCAACAGGCCACCCAGATGCCTCCCAACCCACATCCTCCTTGTGCACAGATGAGGCTCAAAATCCCAAGTAATGCTGTTCCTTTGACGCAAAACTTCCTGCATCGTTTGCTCATGCAGAACGCGTTCACCGAGCACTGCGTAAGGGTGGGACACTGGGCAGGCAGAGGTGTGGATACAAAGAAGACAGTGTGGCATAGAAATAGTGAGAAGCAGCAGTCCCTTCTTGTCACAAGTTAGCAGTTCTGAACCACTGCTCCCAGCAGAAAAATAGGGCTAGGTTCCTATGAGCCTCTACTCACAACATTTTTGTCAACCAATCAATATACAACTTTGTTCTATGTCCATTTCTGTTTAGACATGCCTTACTTAAGTTTTTTACAACTAATTATTTATCCACAGTATTTATAGTAAAACAACAGTCAAAAAGGCTTAATATTGGGGCACCTGGGTGGCTCAGATGGTTAAGCGTCTGCCTTCGGCTCAGGTCATGGTCCCAGGGTCCTGGGATCAAGCCCCTCTTCGGGCTCCCTGCTCAGTGGGGGGCCTGCTTCTCCCCCTGCTCATATTCTCTCTCTCTGTATCTCTATGTCTCGAATGAATAAATTTTAAAAAAAGACAATATTTTCTGGACCCTGAGTAATGTGACTATAAATCTCTTTGGCTTTCACCCTCACTACAATGTTTTTTTTTAATACCTTTTTTTATGGGCCATCATTTCATGAATCCACAAATTTAGTCACTTTCCATCTTTTCCACAGCTTCGTCATGCATCATTCGAGTTACTTTCCAGAGTAGCCTCACTTACAGATCAGTGCATTTCCCCTTCCTTTTTCTAGATGTACCATACTGTCAATTCCTTAACATTGAACTCACAGCCAACAGCACTAAAACTCTTGGCTAAACAAAGCTTATCTAACGCACATATTTCCTCTCTAAGGCATATTCCAGCCTTCTTGCTTTCAAGAACACTAGACAACACTTAGCACTGTACCTGGGGGCCATTTTAAACAGCAAAATCACTGACAAAAAGCACAAAAATGGAAAAAAAGATTGTGGTAGTAAATACACCTTGAAAAGGATACTTCTTTATGGTATGAGGGCTGAAACAGGAAGGCAGAGGTCACATTTGCTTGATCTTGGCTGGGAATGTGCATGAATATCAGTGACCATTTTTGTGCCATTCTGCACATACCCAAGAATGACCAGGAAAGAACAATGAGTATTGACTTGAGGATTACAAATAAGTTTTAGAAAGTTGGCAAATTTGCAAATACAGAATCTGAAAGTAATGAGGATGAATATATATATATATACACACACACACACAATACCCAGTAGTAAGTTACTGGGTAACAAGACATGGCGGTGACCCCCAGGACTTGGGAAGAGTAACAGAGAGACCAGCACAGGGAAAACCTACAGTGTGAAGGGAAAAGATGTGCTTGGACATCAGGTGGAGGTTGGGTGTGGCTAAAGCAGAGTTTCAAAGGGTACAGAGGATGGGAGTGAGTGGGGGCAGGAGATAAAGCTGGATGGTCACAAGCCAGGAATTTTTAAGCTGCAGCAGGGATTTTGGACATTATCTATTGAGCCAAAAAGCAGAGAAGTGAATTCACATTTGTTTTGATGGCAAAGACTTAAAATGGGTTAAAAGAGAATTGGCATATCCTTATATGCAGGAGCAAGGGTACAAAGACACCCCCCATCTTTGCCTTTTCCTCTCCCTTTGGTTTCTACATAGATAGAAATAAATAAAGTGATTGATACCACAGGCCTTCCTGAGCTGATACTACTCCATGATAACTTGCCTTTCCTTTCATTCTGGAACATGTTGCTTTCCCCTATTTCCTCTTACATGTGTAGTTATCTATGTAAATTTGGTATTCATCTGACAACCTCAGAGAAGACACCTTCAAACCAAAATGCCAAGACACAGGGAGCTCCAGATCATTCTAGGTGCTATATGATCTGAAGATGTCAAGAACTGGTATAATGAGCTTACTGTGTGTAGTGAGTCCTTTACTGATATAGGGAGAAAGAAGAGGAAGAACAGGTTTCAGATGGGACCAGGGAAGGAAGGGAACCATGGTGGAAAGGGTAGTCAGTTGGGCTCTGATCACATAGTGCTTGCAATGGCCTGGAACCATCCAGGTGGAGGTCCCCAGCAGCCAGCTGGACACACAAGGTCTGAAACTCAAGCTAACGCTGTGTTCCTTAGGTCACTTCCGTTTTGTCATTCCTGCCTCTTCTGACCATACACTTAAAGGCCCAGTGACACCACTGTTTCACATCTCTGTGACTTTGCATTGACCTTCTCTCCATCTTGTTGATCATATGATAGCCTATTTATTCTTCAAAGCCCTATTCAGTCATGGAATTTCCTGACCATCCCTCTCAAATCCACCTGTTTCTTTCCATATTTCTCTTACTGCATGAATCACATTGCAGTTCGTTATTTAGCAATAAATCTAACTCTCCCGCTAGATTATAAACTCTTGAGGGCATGGACCATGTCTTGCCTCCCTTTGAAACTCCTGATCTTAGACTTTCTGCTACATCACTTCATAAATATTGTTAAAATGAAAAGGGCATATAAAACCTGGATGTTAGAATGACAGAAGCCATAGACATGGAAGTCATAACCTAGGGACATTGTGTAAAGTTTTCCAAAGCTATTGAAATAACTTACGTTTTGTGCTTTGACTACTTCGCCTCTTCAAGAGTACAAAGAATAGAGAATTCACTGGTTCCCCAAGACGTTAAATGTGGCTGTTTCTGAAATTA